TTTAAAGCCAAAAAAAAAAGCAGCTGTCTTGGAAAGGCGACTGATTGAATGGGTATGAAGGAATTTTCTGGAGTAATGAAATGTTAAAATATACAAGCTATATATAAATAGCTTGTTTTGGGTGGTTAAAGAAAAAAAAACCCATTGCTGTCGAGTCAGTTCTGACTCACGGTGACCCAAAGCGTTGTGGAGTAGAAACAAGCTCCACAGGGTCTTCTTGGCTGTCATCTTCACAAAAGCAGATTGCCAAGTCTTTCTTCCGTGGCACCACTGGGTGGGTTCAAACCACCAACCTTTTGGCTAGTACACGAGAGCAAACTGCACCACCCAGGGACCCTTTGAGTGGTTATAAGGGTGTAAATTCTTAAAACTGCCGAAGTGAATACTCAAGATTCGCATACTTTATAGTATGTAAATTATATGTCCATAAAAAATAAAAATAAATCCCCACATACACTAGTATAGATCCATGTGTTTATGTCTTCAAGGATGTGAATTTGCAGATGTGGGCAGATGTGAGTCCTTTATATCCATGACCTTGGTCTGAGCTGCAAGGACTTTGCTATGGGAAACCATGTGGACTTGGGCACATAGTAGATACATTCTTCAGAACTTCGGTTTGACTATCACAGCCACAAGCTAATCCCTTTCTCATCCATTCTCATTTTCCCATTGGCCACACTGTTACCCAAACCTTCTTAACCCTCCTCGGACCACCAAGGAACAATTTCTCTCATTTTCTATTTCTTGCCTGGGAAGGTTAAGGCCAGTAGGTGTGAATCCTCCTCCCCCACCGACCACCCCCTTGGTGTCCTTCTGGGCTGACCATTCTGGGCTTTCTTCCAGTCTCAGAGGGATGAGCCATCCTGGGATCTCATCCTCGCCCACCTAATCCTTCTCCTCTCTCTCTCTCCTCCTTTCAGCATCTCCCCTTCCAGTAGCTTTCCCCTTCCATTAGCTCATTTCCCTCTAATTTCAAAAATTCACAGGACTCTGCTTTCTTCAAACAATTCACAAAACTAGAAGAAAACCCCCAGAAGAGCTTGGCCTGTGTCTCTGAAGTGTGTGCAGGCAAAGAGGCTGGTGCTGGACCCAGGCAGGCCTGGAAAGTCTGAGGCTGGCAAGCTATTAGCAAAGCAAGAGAGGCAGCTGCATTTGAAATGGCCTGCACCTCCAGATTTGTTGGGCAAAGGTGTATAAAGTGTTTTCCGGTGGACAGATGTGGGACAGGCAGGAGAGAGGGCCATCTAGAAGCCATTTTAAAGGGACTTTGCCCAAGACGGCCACCTGGAAGAACAATGGACCTTGCAGGGCTAGGGGAGGGGGAAGTCTAGAAATCAGAGGCTGAGGAAGCAGTTGAAAGCACCAAGACCTAGGTCATAGGAATTAGAGGTAAGAGAGACTCAGTGAAGAACCCACAAAAGCATTGCATGGGAGAGAGTTAGCTATTAAACCCATCAAGCTCAGTGAGTAGAGGAAAAAGCACAGTCAGGTCAGACTTTTCCTGCCCCTTATCTCTACGCTTTTACAACCCCCCTCCACCAATACCAGATGGCTCAGAAGCCACAGCCCGCATGGTGTGGGAATAGAGAAGCTCCTCCTCAAATGTAGGAGCCTAAAGCACACCTCTACCACTCACATGCGAAAGCTGGATAATGAAAAAGGAAGACAGAAGAATTAATGCATTCAAACTATGGCGTTGGTGAAGAATATTGAATGTACCGTGGACTGCCAAAAAAATGAACAAATCGCTCTTAGAGAAAATACAACCAGAAAGTTCCTTAGAGGCGAGGATGGCGAAACTTCAGCTCACTTACTTTGGACATGTCAGCAGCAGGGCCAATCTCTAGAAAAGGACATCATGTTTGGAAGAGGGCCAACAAAAACAAAGGAAACCCTCAATGAGATGTATTGACACAATAGCCACGACAATGGACTCAAACATACCAACCATCACGAAGATGATGTAGGACCGGGCAACGAACGGTTCGTTCTGTTATACATAAAAGGTTGTCATGAGTCAGAGTCAACTGGATGGCAACTAAAAACAACAAAGCAAGCCTGGAACTCTACTGAGTTTCAATTCTAAATTTCCTCTTGGAGTAACCTGCCATCTGTCCACTGGTATTTCTATATGGACAATTCACCATCACTTCCAATTCAGCCCATCTAAAATAAAGCTCTTTATTTTTTCTCCTGCCAGTTCTCCTTCTACCCAAGCCCTGGCTTCCCTTTTTCTGTACATATATCCTTTTCTCAGATTGATTTTCCATATTCTCATTCATTCAACCACCTTAGTCCAAATGGATATGAATTTGTATCCACTCTTCCCTCGGGATCTTTCCCTCACTGGCCCTATCCGCTCCATGTCTATGACCAACACCGTAATTCAGACCTTTATCATCTCATACAATAGTCTCTTAAAACTTCTCCCTGCCCTCCACCTTATATCCTTGGAATCCTTAGCAGTCTAATCCTCCTCAAACACAGTTCTGGTGGTAACATAAAAGCCACTGACAGCCACTTGCTTCCCAAAGAATAAAATATAAACTTCTTAGCTGACATTCAAGAGCCCTGCACAATCTGGTTTTCTAACCTGCTTTTTCCAGCCTCATCTAAAAGCATTCAACTCTCCCAAAATTCTCGGCAAGTCATATGCTGGACAATGAAGTCACAGAGGTGAAAGACAAAGTACTGGCCCTAAGTGGCTCTCAGTTGTAGCAGCAAGACAGAGGGGTAAACAACTACCAAAGAACACAGTCAGTGGTAAGATGAAGGATACCGTTTGTCCTCATGTCTCCACTCTTTAAAAGAAATGATCTATTCACTGTCCCCTGAATCCAGGCCTATGCTTTCCTACCTCCAGGTTTTTCTTTGCGCTGTTTCCCCATCTTTTCACCTATCTAAAGATCCAGCTCCTAGTGCCCCTCCTCTGAGAACTATTCTCTGATTCCCAGCCAAGGATTGGATGGTCCCCGTAGAGTATTTCCTACTCTTCCTACATGTCTCAGCTTAGATAGTTCACCCACTGGGAGGTCCTCTCTCACACAGTCCCCACCCCGGCCCCAATTCTGGGTTAGATGCACCTCATAACTAACTCTCTTATTGTTGCCCTTATAACACTGCTTACAAATTATGTGTCTGTCTCCCCCACTAGACTTTGAGCTCCTTGAAGGTAGGAAATGTGTGGGTCTTGTTCTAAGATGAATACCCAGCTCCAAGACTGGGCTGGCACCTGGTAGTAGCTCAATAAACAAATGAAGGGAGGGAGGAAAAGAATGAGCCAGTCATCATGGGCTCCCTTGTATGTCCTTTAGTGCTTGTGCTAAATGTGATTTTGGCTCCTGCTTCCCCAACCACTGTCCCTTGGCTGACTTAGTCATTGATTCCCTACTGGCTTTGAACATTCCTCTATCAAGGCATCAACCTGTGATACATTCATCTGCCCCACGTGACTCTGAACTTCTTGAGGGCAAGGACTGTGTCTGACACATGTATGCCTAGAAAACAGTATGAAAAAAATGAAGCTTATAACTTAATGTATAAATTAAATGATAAACTCCTTGTAAGCAGGAACCATATCTTTACTTTATATTTGGGTGAACTCTGAACAAATTCACCTAATCTTGGCCACAGTTTCTTCACTGGGCCGACCTGAAGAGGCACGGACTGGATGACTGGGCAGGTTATCCCTATACCCATTTCGTCGCTGTAACATAAGACTGCTGTCCTGTAAAGTTCGTAGAACTGCCTAGTACTAACTCAGTGCTCAGTGTTAGTACTGGTGTCTCTAAAGCTTTGTGAACTGTTACGTAAAGGCCTGTGCATTTGAGGGATGAAAGCAGTGGTGGGTGGGCAGTGTGTGTGCGTGTGAGCAGGTGGGTGCTCCAGAGTGAACTGATGAGCTAGGCATCCATCCTCAACCCCACCCCACCCTACCCCCGGGACTCCCAAGACTTCGCCTCACCTAACCCCCTTTACTCTCCAGAGCTCAGAATCCCTCTCCCGCTTTCAGGAGCAGGAGGGGTGGGTTTGGCTGAGCTCCGCACTCGGATCCGCGACCCACTCGGCCTAACCTGCTGCGCGAGCTTGGTGGGTCTCCCTGTCAGAGCCTCCTCCGTCTGAGGCCCCACCAGAAAAAACGGCTTCTCTAAGAGTTCTTCAAGCCTAAACCCGGTCCTCTTTCACCTCTCGGGCACGGACTCCTCCTCCTTCCGGTCTCTCTACTGGCCGCTAGGAACCCAACGCGCGCTAGGACCCACCTCCAGTCGCCGTTCCCACCTCGCGGGGGTAGTCCTGGGCGTCCCGAGGACTTCCTCCCTTATACTTGGGTAGGAGTTGTGATACCGCGAGATCTGGGAGGTGGGGGCGGGACCGGAAGCCAGCCCAGTCTCGCGAGGCTAGGCGGAGCGGAGCGAGGAGGTCTTGTGTCTTGTGGAGGTCGTTCGAGTGACCTGCTCGCCGCCAGTTCCGTCGCCCGCCGTAGCGCGCCCTCCCGCCTAGCTATGCTCTCCGCCCTCGCCCGGCCTGCAGGCGCTGCTCTCCGCCGCAGCTTCAGCACCTCGGCCCAGGTAGGCTCGACGGGGGGCGGCCTGCGCACGGAGCAGCCCTGGTCCCGGGACCAGCCTAGACCACAGGAACGCCTGGCACTGACCCGAGGCTGTGGCACTTGGCAGGAAGTGCGGGGGAGAAAGCCTGGGAGGCAGCCCAGCTCCAGGGCCGGTGCGCTTCGCCAGCTGTCTTCCTGGACCCCCCCCCCCCACCTTGGTCAGTACGCACTTCAAGGTTGAGAAGCCAGGGCCTTAGGACCGAAAGTAATTTACGGTTTTGTGTAGTTTCGCACAGTACTTTGATGGGATTAATCTCATTCACCTGCAGCATCCGTATGAGTTGTGTGCGAATAAAAGAAATAATGTGCATCATTAATTTCATAATACAGACGTACTAAGGCTCGTGGGTAGATCACTCACCCAAGGTTATGTAGCAGTTTGGCCAGAGGATTATAATTCAGCTCTCCTGACCATTGTCAGTGGCTTTTGGATCACCAAGCCTTGCCTGTGTGAAGACTCTGTTTCCTCTTAAAGGGCTACAGGACCTTTCTGAAGATCTTTCCTGCTGGGGGCCAATTGGGCCCTGTCCCTAGGTGTGGTGACAGTGCATGACTTGGTCTGGGACCATTTTAGCCATCTTTTTCTAGATAGTGGTTCTCAAACTTTGGTGTGTGTTGGAATGGCCTGAAAGCTAATAAAGAACAGAGGCGCGGGTCAGTGACATAGGATAGGACCTGGGTCTTTGTATTTTTACCAAGTGTGCAGAGTGATTGGCTCTAATACAGTCAAAGTTTGAGAACCCAGGAGATATGTCATTGCTTCATAAGTACCACCCCCAAAAGGGAGGTGATTATTTATTGAAGGGGATTCCAAATGTATTTAACTTCAGCCCTTCAGTTCAGTTTCCTGTTTATTCTATTTGTTTAAAAAGTAAATGTATGACTATAAGTATGCTGAATATCCCTGCTTAACAAGAACTGTACTAGGTGCTGCAGGAGTATCGAGATGAATGAGAAGTGGCACTTGAGATGGGCCAGGAATGAGTGAACTTAGGACACATGGAGGTGATGATGGTTGCTGAGGGGTGGGGGACCAAAGGTAAGAGGGCAAAGAACAGAAGCAGCATGGGGGAAGAGTGATTGAATATCGATGGGGTCTTTGTGTATTTGGTGTGTTTATTGAGCTAAGCACTAGAAATACAGCAATGAACAAAACTCCTTGTTCTCATGGAATTTACTGTATGTTTTACTTACTGTCTGTTTTCCCATTACAAAGTATCTTAGATAGCGATAAGTGCCAAAGATAAAAATAAAGCAGGGAAGGCGCTTGGGTTTGTGGGGGAGGGTTGCAATTTTAGGTCAGCCAGGGGATCCTTCACCCAGAAGGTGACATTTGAGTAAAGCCCTAAAGGAAACAAAGGTCAGATCATACAAAAAGAGTATACCAGGCCAGAAGACAGCAGCGGTGAGGACCTGAAGGGGAGCATGCCAGGAGTGTTGGGGAGAGGGCAGTGGGGTAAATAGTCAGAGCACACCTTGTAAGGACTTTGGCTTTTTCTTGAAGATGGGAAGCCATGGGAGGCTATATTGTGCAGAGGAATGAATTGATCTTACTCTTGTTTAACAAAACCTTGAGGATAGGGGAGAAAGACAGGTTAGGAGCTCGTTGCAGTAATCTAGGTGACACCTGTGGAGGTGGTAAGGCATAGCTTAATTTTTTGAAGGTTAGAGCCAGTAAGATTTGCTGATGGATGATTGGATGAGAGAAGGAGGAGTCATGGATGGCAATGAGGATTTAGGCCTGCCTTGGAGTTGCCATTTGCTGAGCTGGGGAAGATTGCTGGAATAGAACAGGTTCGGAAGGGATGTCAGGAGCTTGGCTTTGGATATTTTGCATTTCAGATGCTTGTTAGACATACAAGTGGAGATGTTGAGAAGGCAGTTGAATAAGTCAGAAAGATGGACTTGAGCCAAATGGTACGTTGGTCTCCAGACTTTTGATCTTGCGTTTTTAACAGCAAAAATGTTTTAAGCACACACTCCCAATGTGTTTTATTCCTACCTGTTTGTACTATCGTATACATTTTAACACAAAAATAGAAGTTTTAAAATCAAATATTATGAAGCATTGTATTTGACATTATAAAGCAGAACTGTAGATGAAGTAACTGTTGCTGTGTATCCATTTTTTAAACAGTTGCTAAGCAGTGTGCTGCTGGCAGCCACTCCTTAACCCAGAAAAGGTCAGCAAGTTTGGAAGACAGCTCTTTTACAGCAAGATCATGAGCTAACCTCTGTAATACACAAAATTTTCATCTCATTACAAAGTATTGTAAAGATACCACTACTTAAGGATTATGTTTTTATAAAGACTAATTGCACTGATGACGTCTTATACAAATAGTAACATCACCTCAACACACTGAAAGCAAAGAAATGAGTGAGGAGGTCATCCGTCTACCACCACCGCCCGCCCCCCCCCCCATGGTATGTTCATCTTATGAACCATACAGGAGTGATTCACACTAGGACCTGAGTGAGTGAGGGTGCCACAGTCAGTCTGTCTTTTGATAGAATTTAATTATTGTTACATAAAAATAAAAGCACAAACTAACATTTTCATCCTGTACCCAGTGGGGTTGTCATGTGCTCCCCACTTTGGAATCAGTGCCTTGTTTGGCCTTGGAGGCCAGACTGAGTAATCTGGACATGAGGAGCTTTAGAAGATTGTAGAGCAATGGAGTGAAATGATTAAAACTTTGATTTTTAGGAAGGATGATTTGGAGGTGGGGCCTAAATTAGGTCATGGAATGGGGATGGAACACGAGGGCAGGATGGAAAGACATTTCAGATGCCAAGTCCTTCATGATCTAACTGGTGTCTGGAATAAGGGAGAAAGAAGTAGAAGTTGGCTTTGAAGGTTTGAATTTGGGAGAACACAGGTACCACTGGGGACAGGGGTGGAATTGGTGGAGAGGATAAGTTTAGACAGTTGGGTTTGTGGGGCCAGTGGAATGTGTAACAGAACTGGAAATGCAAAATTGGAATTTGGGAGTCCCTAGGATTAGAGACAAGATATGGGAGTGACTTGCCTGGAGGTGGGTGAGACTACCAGAACCTTCGGGAAATGGGTTGTTCTGGCTAGTTTTCTGGGAAATCAAGGGTCCACCTTTAAAGGGCCAACTTAAAAATAATAACTGCTTCAATTCAAGTTTTAGTTGTAGTATATACTTCTAGAGTTTAACTTTCTGAGCAGATTACACTGCGGGTTTGCTTGTTTTTTAATAAGCCCAGTATTGCTGGCATCAGTTACTGTAGAACATAATGCATTGATAGCATCAGGACCTGGAGCTGACCACTGCCCTAGGTGGCACACACAGTACTTTTTCTTCTATCTGCTTTTGTCTCTGTTAGCCTCCTCCCTGCTAGCTGCCTGGCCCCCTGCTGCCCAGGGATATAGGCTTGCCTTCTCATTTGTGAGTTTAGGATTAGAAACAAGCTCATTGAGGTTGGTTAGAAATTTGATTAGGCCGAATGAGACCTAGAGGATAAGGGGATCTGAGTAATGGAGTGAACTATGTTCAGTTTGTATCCCAGCTTCATCACTTGCTGCCTTTGTGAGTCTGGGCAAAGTACAACTTCTCTGTGATTCAGTTCCTTATCTATAAAATGGATTTGTTAATATCATTTAATAGGATTATTGTGATAATGAAATGATGAAAAACTTAGCTCAGGACCTGGCACAGCAAACACCAATAAATGAGGTTGCTGGATGACTTGAGTTTCAGACCAAGGTGTCCCTGTATTATAAACACTGCCACTCATAGCAAAGGCCACCAAGAAGCAGTCACTGAATTAGTTAAGAAAGGCTGGGGTGGTGGTGGCCTTAAATCTCATTTGTCATCATCCTTCATAGACTCCTCTTCCTCCTCTTAGCCCTTAAATGCTGGTGTTACATGGTTTTTCCCTAGTCTGCTTGTCATTCTGTGATCCCTGGAAGCCTTGTCCATGCCTGTGGTTTCCATTAATCCGAATGATGCTATGACCTCCGGCCCAAGCCCTTTTCCTGAGGTCTGCACCCCTTTACCCAGGGACCTACTTGATAACGTGTGTGTGAGAGAGAGAAAGAAGTGGCTCAAACTCAACATGCAAAACTGAACTCATCCTTTCTCCCAAAGCCTTTACCTTCTGCAGTTCCTTCTATTATTTAATGGCAATGTTGTTAAGACTCAAGCCAGCAGTTGAGTCATCCCAGATTTCCTTCCTCTGCTCTTCGTTTGGATGGTTAAAGAGGGGGAGAGGTGACTTAAATCTATGGATTCTGTTCCTCAAATCACTCATAATGACCCATACTTTATGCTTCTGTTGCCTTTATGCCGCCCTTGAATCGTGCTGGGACTGTCGCAGGCAGTAATCTCCCTGCCTCCATTCTTGCATCTTTCCAGCCCATCTTCTACTCTGCCTCACCTCTTTCTAAAATACAGATTGGTCATGTTCTTCCCAGCTTGAGGTCCTTCAGTGGTTCCCCATTGCCCACAGGGACTAGACGTAGTACTCTAGGCCCTCAGCTCTGGCCCTACCTTTTTCCCTCCTCCACATGCATCCAGTAATGCTCATGCCACAGAGAACTGTTAGAACTGCTTCCCCTCAGTGGGCCATACTACTTTACATCTCTTTCTCCTCCCAGCAGCATTCACCTGGTAAACTACTCATCCTTCAAAAACCCTCTCTCACAGAGTCTTATTTTCTCCTTTGTGCTGCTACTCTTCCTAGTACCTGCCTTTGTTGCACTTACCACACTACCAGTGCTAGTAGCCATCAAGTCAGTCCCAACTCATGGTGACCCCATCTGTTGCAGAGTAGAACTGTGCTCCATAGGGTTTTCGTGATTGACCTTTCAGAAGCAGATTCCAGGCCTTTATTCCAAGGTACCTCTGAGTGAGTTCAAACCCCCATCCTTTCACCTTGCACATCTCCTCCTTGGTGCTAGCTAGTCAGTCGGGGATGTGGTAGGTCAGAAGTCATTGCCTGTTGAATTGCAGATGAGCCTTAAACGATGAATAGGCAGCTGCTTTGGAAAAGTCTCACAGTTTCTCAAAAAGTTAAACATGGAGTTACTTCATGACTCAGAAGTTCCACTCCTGATGTATACCCTAGAGAACTGAAAACATGTCCACACAAAAACTTGTACACTAATGTTCCTAGCAGCATTAGTCATAATAGCCAAAAAGCAGAAACAACGCGATGTCTGTCTGCTTATGAATGGATAGAAGTGTGGTATATCCATACAGTGGAATATCATTCAGCCATAAAAAGGAATGAAGTATTGATACATGCTACAACATGGATGAACCTTGAAGACATTATGCTACATGAAAGCAGTCAGCCACAAAATGCACAAATTGTGTGATTCTACTTATGTGAAATGTCCAGAATAGGCAATTCTATAGACACAAGAAGTAGATTGGTGCTTGCCAGAGGTTATGGGGAAATGGGGAATAACTGCTAATGAGCAGGGGTTTCTTTTGGGGAAGAAGAAAAATGTTCTGAAATTGATTGTGGTGATGGTTGTACAACTCTGTGAATATACTAAAAACTATGGAACTGTACACTTCAAATGGGTGAACTGTATGGTATGTGAGTTATGTTTCAATAGAGCGAGAATGAATAGGATTAGGTGATGACCAGTTGTTAGATATACTTAGCTGTGGTTATTGAAAGTCAAGTCTTTTGACTGAAGTTGACTAATAACTTGGTATAAATTTTTTTAGCTTTTGTCTTTTAGATGTTGATGAAGCAGTCTATAGATTCTTCGGACACCCACTCCAGGGGGCCAGTGACTTCACTGAACTGTATCACCACCTACTACTTGTTCTTTCTCCTGCTTAGCTGGGTGTGGTACAGTGATTCTAGTATCAGAATCATTCAGTATTAAAAGTACTAAGCCCTAGACCCTGTCCTACTTCAAGGAGCCTGGGCCTCGGTGGTCTTTTATTAGCTTACCAGATAGTTCTGATACGCACCAAAGTTTCAGAACTGGTATAGGATGTAGGAGCCTGAGACCACATATCTGTCTCACTTGGTATGACGTGGAGTTACTCTATGACCCAGCAATTGGTAGGGTTGGGAAGGAGCCTTTTCAAAATATACATTCCCTGTTCCACCTCTTGTGTTCTAATCCTGCCTCAGGCTCCAGCCAAGATGTTGCTGCCTCGGTGAAATCTTCTGTGATTCCCCCTTTTGCCAAACAGTGGATTGTCCCCCCTCAGCTCTCAGTACTTCTGTTACAACTCTTTTCCCTTGGTCGACTCTCAATGCACCCAACCCCTCGTCCCCTTCCTGCAGCCCCAGTTACAATGGCTGGCCCGGCAAATGTTTGTTTACAGTTTTTAAAACTGCAGATTGAAGGTAAGGCTGCAGTTGCCAGTCCAGCTGCTTGATTGAGTAAGGCTTGTTCTTTATTTTTCAGAAGGGTTTTGGAGTATGACCCTAACTGTCACAAAATCTGTAGACATAAGATTTCCCGAGGCAAACATCAAAACCTTTGGATGAAACCTGACTGTTGAACTGGTAGAAGTAAAGTGATTGTATATTGCTTTGGCACCACTGCAGTCAGAGAGGCCCAGTGCAGTATTTTGCATGATACCATGTGAATCCTTCTGATGCTGATTCTGTCTTAAGAGTGCTTTTCCTTGCCTCTTTTTAGAACAATGCTAAAGTAGCTGTGCTGGGGGCTTCCGGAGGAATCGGGCAGCCCCTTTCACTTCTCCTGAAGAACAGCCCCTTGGTGAGCCGCCTGACCCTCTATGATATTGCTCATACACCTGGAGTAGCTGCTGATCTGAGCCACATCGAGACCAGAGCAGCTGTGAAAGGTACTAGGTGTGCTGACCCTGCAGAGCTTTCACTGCTCCTCTCCAGTAGACCAGGGTTCAAGCTTTAGAGGAAGATTCTTAAAGGAAACTAGATGTTTAAGATTTGGGGCTTCCATATTAATCTTAGAATTAAATTTTACAAATGATTATACCTTTTTGGACTTGGGTCAATAAAGTTTAGTTAAACTGCAGTGTTTAGGAAAAAGGTGGTCTGATCTTCCAATTATTTTATTTTTTCTAATTTAAAAAGTATTTTGAGCATGTGGACGGGAACTATCAGGAACCTTCTGCAAGGATTTGGGGGCAATAGAGTACTATTCCCTGGTGTACTGCAGGCTCCCTTTCCATGCCATGTGCCAACCTTCCACCCCAGGGTTACCTTTGCCAGCTTCTCCAAAGCACAGCCTTCTTGTAGAAATTGTCCCTTCCACAGCAGGGTGGTATCTGTGCTGCTAGGTAAATATAGGTATTCTAGAAGTAATTCATAATTATTTACCTTGCTTATTTTACCTTCACATTATATCAACATTTTCCCGTGTCACCAGATTCTTGGTTAAATCATTTTTAAAGCTGTACTGTAATTTATTACGTATTATTTATCATACCCATGCTATTTACTGTTTTGCTCTACTACAAGGATAAGTACAAGGTGAGGTAAATAAATGAAAATATAAATCATGATAAACATCTTCATCTTGTTTCTTAGGATAGAGTCCTAGAAGTAGAAGTGAATATTTTAGAGCTTTTACTAGAAAATACCAAATTGCTGGCCAGAAAGATTGCATTCATTTCCTTCTCTACCAGCAGTATATGAGAATGTCCTGTTTGATAGATGAGACATAATACCTTATTGCTAATTGAAAACTGAGTTAGGAGGTGACTGTCAAGTCACGTATTTATATGTGCCTCTGTAGTTCCTCTGAATTTGCTCATTTTCTTTGGGGCTTTATAGGTGCGTTTCTGACAGCTCCTGCAGTGAGGAAGAAGTTAGTCAAAAATCAGAGCAGATTTTGGACATTGGAGCACATTTCCCTGAAATCTTTGAAAATAGCCTTTTTTCCTAAGATGACGGGAATAAACAGGATAGAGACTTATTTAGAGTCTCGTTTTTATCAGCACGGGGCATTTTCATCTATGGCCTCTGTGCCTGCTGATCTGATGTCAGGTAGAGTTCTTGTTAGGATGATAGTGAAGTGGAATAAACAGCTCTTCTAACTGGAGGGTGAGAATGACTTACAGGTGCTAGCCCATAGGATCGAGACAGGCACATGACTTGGATTGGCTTTGCGGAAGCAGAATCTAGTTCGGGACACGGAGGTACTAGTTGTCTGAAGCAGGGGCCTGAGCAAGGAGAGGTTAGAGGAAAGTGGAGTGAAAGGGGAACATCCCTGCCATCCAGAATTTGTCAGACTCACAGGGCAGTAGTTGTCAACAAAAGGCAATCACTTTACAGGTGAGGCCGTCTAGCCTTTCTTGGGGCTTTTGGTTGGCATTGAACCCAGGTGGGGCGGTCCTTCCCAGACTTTGTCCTCATAGATGTGATAGCATCTCTAGCTCAGCGAAGGTGAAATTGCTCTAATGGGATGTTTTTTCTCAGGCTATCTCGGACCTGAACAGCTGCCAGATAGCTTGAAAGGTTGCGATGTGGTGGTTATTCCAGCGGGAGTCCCAAGAAAACCAGGTGTGTGTTTAAAAGCCTTGTCTAGCATCTCCCTATAAATTAGGTGAGAGAAGTAGTTTTCCTTTTAAAAAAAAAGATTTAATCAGATCCCTGCTGCAGAAAAAATTCCACAGGCTCCTCATTGCCTGTGGGATTAAAAAACCAAAACTCTTTATTGATCTGGCATTTAAAGCCCTTCACATATTGCTGTATTTCTCCCTGCCTGGTCTCACCATTCCCCAGACACACTGCTGGGCTCCTGTGCACAGTTTTTTCTGCATGGAACGCCCTTTCCTCCACCCTTCTTAGGAATTGTTACTAATCCTTGATGATCTTTCTCAGAAGTCACCATCCCTGATTTCCCTCCGCACCCTCCACCCCCATAACCTCTGTTATGGCCCTTGTCACACTGGATTGTTTCTCCTACAAGGTAGACTTACCTGAAAACAGGGGTCCTGTCTTGCTTGTATTTTAATTTCCTATAACGACTAACACACAACACTTGGCACATATTTGGAAATTCGTCATGCTCTTTGTGAACACTTTGAATTGAATTGTTCCCAGGCATGACACGGGATGACCTGTTCAACACCAATGCCACAATTGTGGCCACCCTGACTGCTGCCTGTGCCCAGCATTGTCCTGAAGCCATGATCTGCATCATTGCAAATCCGGTAAGTGCTGCTGGGCTTAGCTCTTACAGGTGGGCTGCTGAGACTGTGCTAGAAGCTCACCGTTATCGGCTAAAGTATGCTAGTGTGCTTACAGTGAGAATAATCAGATTAATGTGCCAAAATGGTTAAGTCAGAAGAATTAACGAGGGCATAGTGATTGCTTCTGGCATGATCTAAATGTCTATGAGTTTTAACCTAGTTCTTCCACTTCTAACTGTATGCCTTTAGGCAGATCACTTCCCCTGTTGGTGTCTTAGTTTCCCCACCTAGAAAATAGTTCATTCTAGAGGTTCCTTTCAGCGATGATAGTGGTAATCTAGTAACTCCTCTGACTGTGCTCTACTCGGGGTTTACAGTTCCTTGTTCTACGTCATCCCCTTTCCCCTCACACCAACAGACATAGTCTCATGCACATGCAGCCACCCCAGGTTCTGCCCACTGATTTTTGCAGATAACTCTTTTTTCAGCTCAGAAACTCCTAGTGCTGTGTCTTTACTAAACAAGAGGACAGCTGTGATTCCCAAGTCTGACTTAGCAGGGCCCTGTGTTGCATTTAACAGCAGCCTTCTCTATCCCTCCCTCCTGGCTGAAGACAATAAGGATCTGGGTGAAAGGGCAGTGATAGTGATGTTGACTAAGGAGGTAGCCACCGATAGATGTCTAGAGCTGGTGTTCATGTCCTCTGAGAAGAGGATCCTGCTTTCCCAAACTAGCTTGCTTGTCCTCAGGTGTGGTTGGTTAAAAGTAGACAGCAGCTGTTTCTTTGGTTAGGGAGCTGACTAACTAGTGCTTAATACAAACCTAGCTTTTTTGTTTTTTTTCTTTCTGTGTACCAAGTACCATATTAAGCACTTGCCACATATTAAGTCATTTAATCTTGACAACAGGAGGGCCTGGGTGGTGCAGATGGGTAAGTGCTGGACTACCAGCCAAAAGGTTGGTGGTTCAAACGCATCCAGAGACACCTTGAAAGTAAGGCCTGCCTATCTGCTTCCAAAAGGTCACAGCCTTGAAAACCCTATGGAGCAGTTCTACTCGGCACATTTGGGGTCACCATGAGTCAGAATGGACTTGCCAGCAACTAACAACAATCTTCACAACCTCATGGTAGTTGTTGTTACCCCCCATTTTACAGATAAACCAGCTTCTAGGGAGTTTAGGGAACTTGCCCAGAGTTGCCACACAGATGGAGCTGGGATTTGACCCTTGGTCATCTGAGCTTTTAACCTCTGTGCTTTGCTGTCCTTATCTGCTTTGCTGTTTGTTATCTGTCTTTTATCAAGCCATTCAGGGCGTGAGCCCCAGCCAGTGCGTAAGGTTGACAGCTATTACGTGCATGTTTGAAGTATGGGACCAGAGTCCACCAAGGGAGTAAGCACTCACTGCAGTGAAGGGTTTCTTTGTTTACATGAGAGGAGAAAAAAGGCACCTTTTTAGGGGAGGAAGTGTGCCCACTGTGACCTGCCTATAAACAAAATTATTAGGACAATTTAATTTGGCAGCTTAGGACTTGTTAGTGGTCTGACAAGACGATTTTTCCCCTCGTTTGTCTCTGCTCTCAGAATGCAGGGCAAATCATGCTCTCTCTTGTATTTACTAGGTTAACTCCACCATCCCAATCACAGCAGAAGTTTTCAAGAAACGTGGAGTATATAACCCCAATAAAATCTTTGGTGTGACAACCCTGGACATTGTCAGGGCCAATACTTTTGTTGCAGAACTGAAGGTAAGGGCTATATCAGGTCTCTCTTAAATTACTTTTCGGAACGTCTCTGGCCACCCTTGTTTATTTACAGGTGTAGAAGACACTGGGGTGTTTCCAGGTTACTTGTAACTTGGTGGTTTTAAATGTTTTTCTAGCTTGCCCCTTGGTGGAAAGCAGCTCCCAGGTTCATTTGGGGATTCCATACAACAGGTCCCTATGGAGTTAAGCTCTAGCCAATGTCTGTCTTGATTCAGCTCACTCTGTGTCTCATCCTTCTCCCCGGTAGCATCAAGGATTCAGGCAGCCACTGTCTACATTGTGCTTTCCCTGGGTTTCTCTGACTTGACTTGGATTGTACTTCCCCAAGCCTTCCCCTTTTTCATCGACCCTGAAAACTAGTACCAGCGGAATTTACCTGCTAATCATTAGACACAGGGTGATAAAATTAGCAAGCAAAAAGAACATCAAGTTCCAGAAATCATAAGACATCAGAATTGGCACTCCTGATCTATAGTTGTAATTCTCTTTCTTGGGTTATCTGTGGTAAGTTACCTCAGATGGTTCTGATCTTGCCAGTTGCCTGATTTCTTCTGGGTTGTTAGACTGAGCTTCCAGATTGCATCCTGAGGTAGGTTTGGATTGGCACCATTGCCAGGTGTGGAGTCCTCTATGCTTTTCATCACCTGCTTTCCAATCTTTTTGATGAATCCAGCAGAGTCAATTCCTCCAGCCCCAAAAGGTGTCTTTCTTGTGCTTTAGGTCATTTTGTTCTGACTCTGCAGGTGAGGATGGCCTCTCAGACATAGGGAACATGCATTGATTAAGGGTAGGGTTACACAACCAATTATTGTAATTACTGTCATAAGTTCCATGCCTGTAAAAAGTTGAACTGATATATAGCAATAAATGTACACATCCAAAAAGAAGAAAGGGCCAAAATCAAAACATTAACCCTACAACTGGAACAAGCAGAAAGAGAGCAGCAAAAGAAGCCCTCAAGCGCCGGAAGAAAGGAAATAAGAATTAGAGCAGAATTAAATGAAATAGAGAATAGGAAAACAATTGTAAGAGTTAACAAGACCGAAAGCTGGTTCTTTGAAAAGATCAACAAAATTGATAAACCATTGGCCAAACTGACAAAAGAAAAATAGCAGGGGAAGCAAATAACCCGTATAAGAAATGAGATAGGTGATATCACATCAGACGCAACTGAAATTAAAAGAATCATAACAGAATACTATGAAAAATTATACTCTAACAAATTCAGAAACCTAGAGGAAATGGACAAATTTTTAGAAACTCAACTACCTACCTAAACTAACACAAACAGAGGTAGAACAACAAAATAAACCTATAGCAAAAGAAGAGATTGAAAAGGTAATTAAAACACTCCCAACAAAAAAAAGCCCTGGCCCGGACGATTTCAATGGAGAATTCTGCCAAACTAGAATTCTAGAGAAGAGTTAACACTGCTACTACTAAAGGTATTTCAGAGCATAGAAAAGAATGGAATACTCCCAAACTCATTCTATGAAGCCAGCATAACCCTGATACCAAAACCAGGTAA